TGCGACTAAAATAAAAAAAGATTGAAAAAAGCACATGAAATCAACCATTTTTGTTGCAAGGATGGTTCAATCCGCTCTCAAGATCCTCCTTAACAAAAAGTTATGAACTTTTCATTAAAATCAAGTAATTTCTTTTTATGCCATACTGTAGAAGATAAAGCAGAAACAATAATTGATTCATAAGAAGGCAAAGAAAGAAACGCCGAGAAACAATCGCACGTCGAAGTTGTTGATCAACCCGTATCTGAAACAGAAGAAAGATTTCACTCAAGAGGGAAGGGCTAGCATTTTTGTTTATTTATCAAATGCCCAATCAAATGCATTTCAAGCCCCAAATATCGATCAAACAACTGACAAAATCATTTCGAACGGCCATTCGGGTATACTTTTCTGGAAAACAAACATTTAAAATTTATTTTAAAGCAAAATCTCCTGTCGGAGCCATCAAGTAGAAATTGACTGGAAAGAATTCGATATTCAGGGAGAAATGGTTTACGGTCAATCGCCTAAATGCAAAACTTAACATTTTGGCACAAGCGTTCCGAGTTTTGATAGTAAAAGTTTCATCAGAGCATCAGAGCAACTTTCAGTACTATGTGATGCTAAATCCAAGATTCGTCCTCTTGCGTTCTTTTTCCTTAGTCTGGTAACCAAATTAGCAAGCCAGATGAGTACTTTAACACGTTTTAATCAACTCTTTTTATGTCAAGTGTCGGATTTCTCCAAGTTTACAGTAATCTAAAGCCGATCTACACAGTCATAGTAATCTGGCAGCCCTTCAGCCTTCTTCCCATCTACCATATTCCGAATCTCTTTCCAAGACCCTCTCCTCTATGTGTGAGGGCCCTCGTCGGGCCGATGAATGCCCCTTGCCTCCCTCTTTTCAAAATAGGCTTCTCTATTCCCTTCCCTGATCCCTTACCCCTCCCTTCCCCTCCCTTTCCCTCCCTTCCCCTTCATTCCCCTTCTTCCCCCTCCTTTCCCCTCCTTTCCCCTCCTTTCCCCTCCTTTTCCCTTTCTTGTGTCCCCTTTTCTCCCCACGTTCGCCTTCCCATTTTCTTTTCTTTTCCCCCATTGCCCCTGCATATTTTCCGGCAATTCGCGCCCCACATTCCTTTCCCTCAAAAAATCTTGGCTGAAGACTCGAACTTGAGTTGTTTTCTTGATTTTCCATATCTGGAGAAGAATTCTTGATTCTTCTTTTTCATTATCAAACACCCCGGAATGCACGATGCCCCCATATCGCAGCGCCGCCGACGCAAAGTACCTCGGCGTGGGTTTTACTTTTGTTTTTTGGGTTTTAAGTGAGCCTCATGGATTTTTATACGCTGGAAGTCATACACTTAAATGTTTAAGGATTCAATTTGACCTCAAAGATAACAAATTTTTAGGATCTGACAGAGTTTGTGGCGTTGATGGACGAGTACTCGAAAGACAAATGGACTCTCAATAAGGTTAGTGATCTAGTTTTAAGTAGTCAGTGTGCAACAATTCGAGCCAAGGGCTGGTTTATTGTTAACCTGAATATATGGCCAACCAAGAGGCTCAAGAACAGCTCTGATAACCAGGGATCATTTGTCTAGAAGTTGAACTTGCAACTGCACTTTCTTTTGTTCTCTAATATTCTTTCCCATTTCGATCGCGATTTCCAAAGCTTAAAAAAGAAATGTGAAAACCCAAAGGAATCGGTAGAAAAAAGACCCAAGGGATCATAAAGGAAAGAAGATAAAAAAGAAGTAAGGGAGTCCCTTCAGCCTCAGAACAGCGGAGATCAAGTTACTCACACCATCCACCCCTCCACATCCCCTCCTTTCCACTTTCGACAGGGAAAACTCAAATCAATCCTCCACACAAACGATCATGAAACTTTGAGGGAAAGAAGGCGTTGAAGGATCATGAGAAAAATTTGAATTTGATTTGACCGGAGAAAAAAGGCTGTAGTTTTGAGATCTTGTCACAAAACGGCCAAATAAAACAAGACAATGGTACAATTGAGCCAAGAATGAAAGGAATGTAAGAATTTGCCCATGTTTTTTTCCAAAATCTATTTTCATCTCAATTCTCGTTGACCACAATTCTCGGAATTCTCTCAGGCTCAGATGGGTCTCTGGAATTTCCCTAAAAAACAGCGAATCTCTCTCTTTTCCAAGGAATGTCTCAAAGAATTTCTCCACTTTCCCTTTTCTTCTCAAAGGTCCCTATTTGGATGTCCATCCGAAAAGCATTAGTTTTAGTCTTTCTTTTCAACTTTCATTTTGTTTTTTTCTTTTACATTCCCCTTTTCCCAAACCTCTCTTCACCTAAATCATTCACTAAGCTCTTGAGTCATTTGAAGAATGAACAAAAACTAACGGTGTGAGTCTTTGAAAAGTTAACTGAGAAGTGAACTGAGAAGAGAAGAATGCGCCAATTTCAGTCAGAAGATGGTGTCTGGTTGAAGCAATCAGTGATGATCAAGAATGAAATTGAGACCTTCAATCGACAGACACATATCCTTCGAAGTAGCCATTACGATTTACCTGTTTTGTGGTTCAATTTTTATCATCGAGGTTTGTAATTTGAAAATGATCTTTTGATATGGTATCTCTTCTAGATGGCCGACCACTTCGTCTTGATGAGATATCTGATCTTTTAACAAAGAATGATCTCACGAAATGCTCAAATTTTGTAAGGTAAACGATTTAAAATGTTAAAATGTCTAAAGATTTGAAAAATCGGAATTTGTTTACAGACTGGTCACGCAAGAAATTCACCCATACTACGGGGTCCTCTTTTTCTTCATTGATCCACGAAAAGCGAAGAAAAACATTGAAGATCTAGAAGGAAATGGAAATTTCATTGTTCGGTTGGTGGAGATCTTTTGAAAAATTGAAAGAATGGTATTTAGATGGTTATCTTTATATGGAGCAATCATTGGAATGACACTTCCCAATGAAATTCTCCTTTCAGTTGGAATTGATCCGCAAGCACAGAACACATTGTAAGTTTATACTTGCACTGTCTTTAGAACAAATGTCTTTAGAACCTTTACAAATGGATCCGATTCCCTATCATCTGATCGAACTCTCTCCAAATCTCTCCAATCGACATGTGTATCAATAAATGAAGATATTGAAGAAGTTGATGAGATTATTGAAAAAGAACGGATAGGGGAAAAGGAGGAAAATAGAGAAGAATCGATTCAAGAAAAGGTTTGTTGATATAGCTGATAAGTCCCTGATAAGCTGATAAGTATCAGCTGATAGTATCAACTTCTATAGGAACAAGATTGAACAATCTTTTCATTCACCAGCTAACCGATCATTCATTCAGCTAACCGATCGAAGACTTACATCTGTTTCCGACTCTCTCGATTCAGCTCACAATTCTCCAATTTCTTCACATAGTCCGTAGATTCTAGAGATTTTCTCTAATTCTTATTCTTAGCGTTCAATTTTTAGCTGATTTTCTGAAAAGTATTGTAAAGTTGCAGCCTTTTTATTCAAACAGAATATTGAACAGACAGAACAAACAATATCTTGATATTTGAGACATTAGAACTTTACAAAACTTTAAGTCTTATGTTTCGTTTATAACCTCAAAATACCTTCAAATTTCACTGGTTTCATCTTTGTTTAGCAATTTTTCTACGCGTTTTAAAATAGAGGTACTTGTGGAATATCCGGGGGGGTCTTTCAATATCCGGGGGGCTTTCAATATCCGGGGTTCAAACCGGGGGTAAAATTTCAAGATCCGGGGTAAACTTTCAAAAACCAACCTCAATAAATTGAATATCTTTACATTTGAAGGGAATTTGTCACCAAATCACTTAAGCGGCTGAATATCTTTAAAAGGGGTCGTGTATAACGTATATAAAATTTTACCCCCCTCCCCCGGATACTCCACAAGTACCAAAATAGAATTTTTACTTTATTATATAACTTTTAACTTTTATCTATTCATTTTTCTCTAAAAATCATAATCATTAATTCAATTTGAAGGTTCTTTGTATCATTGCCATTTTTCCATACATTTCCCGAAGTTTTCCCGAAAAATTCCCAGGGTTTTGTCTTTGCTTTTTTTCAAAAGAAAAGTTTATGCAAATTTTTCACAAAAAAAAGAATAACCATATGTACAAACATAAATCGAAAACGGAAAGGGTAAAAAATGATAAATTTTGCGAAGGAGCACAGATCAAAAAGGGAAGCGCTTAAAGAGGAATTTTGCTAATATTTCAAGTTCAGGTTTTATTTTACAGTATTCAGCTTTTTGATCCATTTCCCTACTCAATTTGATCCATTTTTACTCTTCCAAAATTCCCACTATCAAAAAACTTGTGGCCGACAACAAAAGAGAGGACTCGACACGAGAGAATTTCCCCAAAAAAAAACAAACTAAAGCACTCGAATCGTCCTGATCATTCGATTGGAAAGCAAAACGTAAAAATCTAACAAATTTGGCAAAAAAAACATTACAAAACATTAAAAACAAAACAAAAAAATTTACAAAATGAAAATACTGAGAGATCACAATGATTGGACTCAATAAAATGATGCCTAGAACTCAATAAAATGATGTTGACTGTTCTCTTCTTAATTGAAACTTTGAAAAGTACGCTACAGAAAGCTGCCGTACTCTTTTGATTGTCTTACCTGTTCTCTTCTTAATTGAAACGTTGAAAAATACGCTACAGAAAGCTACCGTACTCTTTTGATTGTCTTATCCTTAACTACTTTTAAAAAAGTTATCCTAAATACGGCATCGTTTCTATAAAATACCTTTTTGAAAACGATTTAATCAAGAGGAAAACAGTGGAGTGAAAAGAGAAATTTGGACCTTATAAAGTTGAAATTGGTCATTAAAAATACAATATTCAATTAAGAATCTATTAAATCTTTCGAATTTCCTTCGGAACAAATTAATATTCAGAAATGGAGAGAAATGGGGGAAATGAGCTTTGGGAAGGACAAGGACAAGGACAAGAATTCTGTTACCCGACATCAAATTTGTGTGGTCGTCAATTGAAAAAAATTGGAAATGAGAAAAAAGGGAATTCAAAAAGGGAATTCAAAAAAGTGGACATATTGGAAGTGAATATTATTGGAGTCTAATCAAAGATATTTTCATATGTTTTTTTTTTGTTAAAGATTGCTACCGTTTTCCCGTTTTCAACTCGTCAACACCGAGAACAGAAACCTGAAATTTGGGATAAGTTACGTGAAGATTGGACAACATTGATATGGGGATTTGGATTTAATCTAACAAAAAGTATCTTCATCAGTACCGTTTAAAGCATTTGAATTCATTTTCAACTAGTTTTTTTTTATTCTACCCAACCTGTTCGTTAAATCTGACAATCGATCCCGAAGATGAACTCTTTGAGATTTTGTTTTGTGTTGTGCTTGTTTGTTCTTCTCTTTTCTCATCTCCACATTTCAAATCTTCTTCAGAGCCTTCTATTGAGTCTAAAAAGGAAAACGAAAAGATATTCAATGATTTGTTGAACTGACTATTCGTTCGAATACTCCAAACACTGCTCCTTCTCGGCGGTTCGATATAGGAGACAACGGTGGAAAATTTTGTTTTCGTCGAATCTTTTCTTTGCACATATCCATCCTAAATTGCAAATATAAGCTTTTGCTAATTGTAAGTTCGATTTTCAAGCAAACTTACCCTATATTCTAACTCCATTTCTTCTGAAGTACATCGTTTTCCAATCGAGGCTGAGCTTGCGATTGTTTTCAAGAAATTGTCGGGGAGTTTTCCTAAAATTCTAGTTGGAACTAGGGCAGATCAAAAAAAATCATTCGCCGCCAGGGCTCGAACCTAAGCCTAAGCCTGAGCTTACTGGGCAACCGTGGCAACCACTACACCACAAAGCACCCGATCCCCCTTACTCCAGAGGGAGTTAAGTTTTGCCAAGCTATTCTTAGTGCCAAGCTATTCCCCTACCTCGACTATCCTTCGGTCCACAACAACAAGTGCATAATAGAAGAGCACAAAGACCAATCGGGATCATCGCCACACACAAAGGGATCACAATCTGAAAAACAAATCTGATTGATAAAGACAAAAGAGATTTCTTTGATAATCGTTAACTAACCAATTCAATGTTGAACCTTTCACACGGCTTTCTCGTGACTCCCGCTCCATCTGTACTCCTTCGTACTCGTCTCGTCTCATTCGAATTTAGAATTTCATCGCTGAAACAATCATTTTCTTTGAATTATCAGACATCAAAACCTGTCACCAAACGATAAAATGATTGATGTGGTCTCATTTTTGAAAAATCGATTCAACGTTGAATTGTCGTAGTGTCTAGAATGGGTTTTTTTTAATTTAGAAATGAATGCTGTACTAAAGATTCTATAGATTTTAATTAAATAGCTTTGTGGATACTAAGATTTTTCTGTTAAATTAATTTGGACCGGAAAGCAATGATGATAAATGAGTGAGTGTGTCAGAAAAGCAAAGAACAAAGTATGGCCGGGTTTTCGTCATTCTTATTTTTTTGCTACTAATTGTCTTTAAGTTAATTAGATAGATTTAGAAAAATTTATCAATTCTTTAACTCAATCAATTTATTTATAATCAATCAATCAATTATCAATCAATTTATTCTTTAACTTTTTAAATTTGTTCTCCAAAGAATTTCTCAAAAAGTTAAGGGAAAGTTCAATGAGTTGAACGTTTCCCAATCAGATCGATCCACAAAAAAGTCGATTCTCAACAATTTTTATTACGTTTTCAAGTAATGAGAGAAATTTCGATGATTTTTCCTTGTTTGAAAGGTTGAAAGATTTGACAAAAGTCTCAAGGCAAATGAAAAACAAAGATTGGCAAACTTTGAGATCATGTGATGAGTTGATAAAGATAAAGGGTTTTGGGGAAAAATGGAGAAAATGGATTCTTGATTAAGAGAACGGAATCTCTGAATCTGAATTCTTGATTAAGAGAACTTAAAACAGACTATTCAGCTTAAAACAGACTATTCAGCTGCTTTGTCTTTCCCTCTCGATTTAAAATAAAATAGCTCAGTGGTTAAAGGAATTGGTCGGAAAGGCTGGGGCTGGTTCAATCGTCTCTCCAGAAATCTTTATCTTTCCAATTCCTTCACCAATATCGTGCTATATTATGAATCCATCCATCTTTAAGCTATTCAACATTTCCATCTTTATTCGTATTTCTATGTAAATCCTATAAATCTTCTCTGAAATCATTAGCTTAAAAAGCAATTTTGATTTAGCTTTCAAGGTAAAACATTCCTATTTACAATTAATTTGGATCGATCTAACAGAAAGCTTTTTTTGACAAGAGATTTCTTTCATCATCCTCAATAACTAACTTTTCTTATACTTTTTGCGTAAATTACTCAAATTCCGGGGATTTCGTGGGCGGAAACGACTCGTGAAATCATTCACAAAAGAGACGAGTCGAAATTTACGATTTCAATTTTTGCGCTCACTTTCTTGGAGAAAAAAATAGCTGAAAAAAGGAAATGATAAATAGATTCTGACAAATTTTTGAAGGTAAAAAGGGTTGAAATCACGGAAAAGATTATTGGGATTGCTGGGGGAGTTGAAGAGATTGGCCCGAAGTTGGGAGATCTGACAATGAGAAGAACGTTTGGTGTTTGACATTTAAAAAACTTGACATGACAAACGTGACATTTAAAAAGCTTAACATTTAACAATGGATAGAACTCTTAAACACAATAGAGTTCTTAAATAGTATTTAAAAATTAAACTTTGCTTTGAAAACTCACGCTGAACAGTTCTTGTTACACGCACGACAGACGGCCGGAGCTGCATCGGCTGTGTGAAATGGGGAAATCACGGAATAAATGGTGAAAATTGAAGCGATGGTCAGAATTTGAATATGAAGAGAAAAATGTTGAGATGAATGGATGGATTGATGGTGATCGAAGAGAGGGAAAAGCCACATAGAAGAGGGAGGAGGGCAGAAGAGTGGAAGAAGGGGAAGAGGAGGAAGAAGGGGGACAACGGGCAGAAGGGGCAGAAGGGGCAGAAGGGGCAGAAGGGGCAGAAGCTGCGGAAGACTGCGGAGGGGATGATAGACCCAGTTCCTAAAATATTCTATTGTATGATTGAAATGAAATGAGGACAAAGAAATAAAGACATTGCTCACAAGATAGTTTTATCAAAAGGAATATGACTCATTTAGGCAGAGAGTGCTTGTAAGTTTGGTGAGTTTCACACGGAGAAAGCAGTAACAACAGCAGTAACAACTTAAGTCAAAACTTTATCAAGGTGATAAGCTAGATATTAAAAACGAAATATATAAGAATTTCAAAATCTACAGGCTCTAGAGAGCATTAAACTTACTATTAGTCAAAAGCTCTGATTTCCAAATAGATCAAAGTTACTCATCAAACGAACAAAGATAATAGCAGACGATTTCAAGGTCATAAAAGTCTTCTACAAATACATGCATTTTAAGAAAAGTTGAAAGGGTTAACGTTGATCGATTTCTTACACCAGTTTAAGCTATAAACTTTCCCCACATTTACTCATTCCTTCCCAAAAAGGTTCATCGTGGTAAATTTCGAAAAAACTTCAAACAATCCGCTTTGTTTAAATAAAGGAAAAAGAGAAGAAAGAGAATGAAAGAGAATGAAAGAGAATGGCCCGAGGGAGGACAAATCACTCATTCATATCATTTCAAATAGGGATACAGTGGAAAAATCTCGAAATCAGGCAAAAATTGAGGAACGGAGAAATGAACGGATGGGAAGGGGATGGAAGGGGCAAAGAAAAGACAATGGGGTAATCAATGAAAAGAAAAGGAAAGAGATTGAGAAAAGAAATGAAAAAGAAGGGGGTAATCATTCTAAAGGAAATGGAGGGGATGGGGGTGGGGGGAGGGTACTGAAGGGGATGGGGAGAACGGCTCACTGTCGACACGTTCCCCCGTCCTACCCCTCCACCACTCCACCCCTCCTCTCCCCGCCACAAATGATGAACCCCGTGTAATCGTTGCTTGTGTGCTGATGATAGGAGATAGGCATCATTGTGGAGAAAAGATCAAAGGAAAAGGGAAGCCTTGAGATATTGGAAGGTAGACGGTATAATTAGAGATAGAGAAAGTGATCGTGATTGTGAAGCTGCAAGATTGTGAAGCTGCAAAGAAAGTGAGGCAACCTTTTTAACGATGTACTGTTGATAGGTACAGTTTTTCAAAAGATTAGATAAATGCACATACAGGAGTAGTTCACTTTATGCCAAGCACACTAGTCTCAAAAATTGTAGACCTACAATAGGATGAACTTAAAATTTCTCAAGGTTTAATGATACTCAGGCTCATAGTCAGATAGTCTAAAGTCTTAAGCTCATAGTCTTAAGCCTAATGCGACAGGCTAAAGTCTAAATGCTTTTTAGCATACTGTGAAACAAGAGGCTGGATCTTGAAGAGAAAGAGAAAAGAGAAAACATCAAGTTGCAAGCATCAAGCATCAGTTTATCAAGACTTAATAAGTGAAATCTTTAAAAATCATCAAGTATCCAATGACAAAATGATGAACTCTATTCGATACAAGAAAAAAAGATTGAAGGGGAATGAAAGAAATGAAAGGAGTGAATGATCGAGTGTCTCTCAAGGTAAAACCAATAAGAAAATTATGACCGTCCATCCATGAACATGAAAAAGGGGAAAAAGATCATATCTTTTCATTCATTTTCTCGATTTTTCTCAAAGAAATAGAATAAGTAATCGATTAGATCTACTCTCGTTTTCATCGTTTTTCTCGACTTGCAAAGTTATCCCAATTTTTGTGTTTGTTTGTCTTTTATCATTTTGGCAGATAAGCACAGGGGAAAGTCTGTACTCTGTCTTCATTTCTCCGAGTGAGAACTAATGAAAAGTTGCCAATGGATCGGTGTTTACTGTAGCGCAGTAAACACTAATCCATCGGCAGTATACAACAAGTAAAAGACCAGGTTTTATCCTCAATGAAGCTTGGAATGAAGAGGAATGTTCACTGCCAAATTTGCACTGATTGTCATTGTGATTTGCACTGATTGTCATTGTTTATGAAGTCTCAATCAACTTGTCTGTCTGCTTGTATTTCATTCTCTCTTGTACATTTCTCAATATTTCTTCTTTTCCTAACAAATCATTAATAAAGTGTTCATTTTTTTTTGTCTTTTTCTTGATTGTTTGATGAACTGAACTTTATTTCACTCACACCTCACCGAAAGAGAAAACACAATTATTTTCTACTCAAAAAGAAAACGACAAAACCTTTAAAAGATTGTTTTACAAAAACTCATGTACACAAATGATCTACCTGTTTTTTTGAGCCTTTTTGGGAAAATTGAAGAATCTCTAATAGAAATGGTAATCGAAAATGACAAGAGACAAATATGAAAAACCTTCTACAGATAATTCTATTTCTAAAGAGTCGTAAAAACTACCGTACTCCTGCTTTACAAAAATTAAAAGAATACAAGTTTACGGTAGATTTAGAGTAGATTTAGAGTAGATTTTTTTTAGAAAACTCCTTAGCCAAGTAGCTGATTTGGGTCCAGCCTAGGAAAAGAGTTAAATAAATCTTACAAAGCTATACAATAAATGCAAATCGAGTAAACTCCTTATTACAGTACTCATCAAAGAGTCGAAAAGTTACGCAATCATTTCACAGTGACACGTGAGTTTTCAGTACTTGGACAAGTTGTTGGCTCAATTCCTGCTTTAAGGAAATTTGTGTTCAAATCAAGGCCGATCTTCAAGTTTTGTGGCTCAAGAAAGTAATCGATTGTTGTCCAAATCTCGGATCGCTCAATTCTCGACAAGAAAGTCGCACGAACCTGAAAAATATTTGAGATTATTTTGAAATACTTTGAACTACATTGATCTCATTGATCTCTCATTGATTCTTTTATTTTCTTTTGCATGACTCTTTCCACTCAGCCTTTTCCACTCAGGCTTCAAAGCTGAATATCTTTCAATTAAAGCTTTAAACAGATATTTTATTTGAAAGAGTTTGGAAGGAAGGTGTCTAAAAGCCTTTTCTAGCATAATCTAGGGAAGCTACAGTATGCCTGAATACAGTAGGCCCGTGGATTGTACTTTAGGAGATCTGTGAAGTAATTGTTCTCTTTTAGCAAGAAAGAGCGACCCAAATTCAACCCAAAACAATATCAAAAAAGCCCTTTCATTTCCGTTTTTTCAAAGATTACGATAAGGCTCCACATCGTCTTTCCGTTTTCTCATCCAATAGGAAGTGTGTAAGGCAAAAGGGAACGCTTAGTCTTCTCTTGTCTTTTTGTCACAGTTCATCGCGCTTTTCTTCACCAAGAAGGACAAATCTTTTCATAAAAGAGTTCTAATCTGAAAAAAAAGAGCAAAAAAGGAGATAATGCACACAGACAAATCTTTCAACCACAAAACGATGGTCTTGTCGATGAATGATTTCATCCGGAAATCCCCCCTTCGAAAGCTATCGACAAAAAGGGCAATCAGTGATTTATGTTGGGAAATCTTTGTGCAAAGAGAAGCTTGCAAATGATAAAATAAGGGATTTTTAAAGAGAGAAATAGATGGATTGGAAAAGGGATTACTGTAGGGGTTGGCGGGGGAGTGTTCATCTTTAAAGAGTGGGATGATGGGAGAGTAAGTTTGACAATCAGTTTTAAGCAGGTGAAAGATTGAGATATGTAAGCAAGAGATTTGGACAAAATATGGAAAATGGGTTGATGAATAGATGTGCGTGCTGGTTGTCTTTTTCTCGGATAGAATGGAAAGATTCAATTCAAGTGAGTCTCTATGATATACCAGTTAGCAGCAAGGTGCCGTAGTTAGGATACGCTATGATCTACAGAATGTTTCCCCAGCATTATCTGAAGTTCAGCTGTATTTCAGAAACAGTCTTACTTTCTTTCTATGGTTGCTTCTAAGTTCAGAAGTGTTATCCTATCAATCTACTTCTTTAGCCAACAGACAGTCAAAGGAATCACTGACGTTTGTCTGAAGGTCAGTCCCTTCTTCGTCTTATCCTTCCCCTTTTCATCCTTTATCCCTTGAGGGCATCTCTTCTCACGGAAAATGATAAGTTTCCCGGAAATCCTTAGATAAACGGAAAAGTAAGAGTTTCAAGGAGAAAACTTTGCAAGAAGCCTTTTCTCCCCAATCAAAACCAAACCACGTACACGTAGACATCAAAAAAAAAAGGTGTATACAAAAAAATTTCGGGGTAGTTTGACCTCGGTGAAATGATCTGTGCACAAGTTTGGGTAGATTGATGGGAAACGGCGAAAGTTTTGAGAGAAATAAACTTGATCTCATTTCGGAGTACAGCCGAATCACAAAGAACCCACGCACTAATGTGTGCAGGGTGGAGATCGGTCTGTACTTTGTGCTCCAATAAACGACCTACTTCTGCACTTTTTTTAAAGAAAAAGAGCTGTCAAAAGGGCTCAATTTTCATTTGTCCAGATTTTCGGGTAAACTTCCAAGTCTAATGCACTAAAGCCGGCCTTTTTCTCAGCTACCTGACTCCTAGACGATCATTTGCAAGTTCCCAATGTAAAACCAATTTCTCTTTATCATTTTCCCCTCCTTTGACCTCAAAATTTTCCTCGGCTTAAATATCACCCAGAAATCAGCGTTTCAAGATTTTCAAGAAGGGCAAAAAACGATGGCAATGAAAGTCAAAATAGACCCGAAGAAAGACTGATCCTTTTGTCTTTCCCTTTTTTATGAGTCAATCATTTGTTGGGTTCACTCGAGTGGAAAAGTGGACGTGTTTTCTGATTGAAATGATGAAAAGAAGAGAAGGAAAACAGCGGGAATCATATGATTTTGGAGGGAAATTAATGAAATAACGGAAATAGAAGGGATCTTGATTTCAGTAAGAGACTTGGATTTCACCTAAATTGTTTTCTTTTGTAAATCATTTCATTTCCTTATTCTCTCTTGTCTCGGTAAGCTTGTTTTCATTGAGGGTAAAATGAAATTCGATCTTTCCCCAGAGAATAAAACCCATTCGATTCACTGTAAATCGACTGGGTATCGTAAATTTTTTTCGATCATTTGGCTCAGACCGTTTTGAGAATACTGGTTAATGTATCGGAGACAGGGAAGTGTTTCTGAAAGGTAGCTTTCAAGGGAAAACCTTCAAATTTTATTTGGTTTTCAATGGGTTTCAAAGAAATTTTATTATCAAATCGATGGTTTTGATCTGAAACTGATCTACATTTTCAGGTAAACATTCAGTGTAAATTAAACCAAAACAAGACATATATCTACCGTAGTTTCAGTGCCAAATAATGATCTGCCAACTCTGACAATGATGGAAATGAAGAGAGAAAAATGAGCAACTCAAGGAAAAAGTGTTCTCCTCAATCAATCAAACAAATGATTGTCTTGTTTCCCTTTTTCTATTGTAATTGACTGAAAGTTTACATCATGTTGCCTAGTACAAATCATGTTTTTCAAATCATTTACCGTAAATACTGTAATAGTACCCCACCCCCCTCGTACAGTCGCGTAGTCGCAAAAGTTTTTCAGTATTTCATTTTTTTCAAAGCGCCGGTACTTTCAAAAAATGGGTCTTTGGTATCAAAAAATAGCTGAAATCCAGGGCTATTTTTTGATACCTAAGCGCGCATTGTAGCATAAACCAGTGTCGAGAAAAACTCGTTCAAAGCTAGACTACACAACACTCCGCACCGTCATTATGGGGGTGGGGTACTATTACAGTATTTACGGTAGGCTTTTAACCAGTTGGCTATCATCTTTGGTATCAAAAAATAGCCCTGAATTTCAGCTATTTTTTGATATCTAAGCGTGCATTGTAGCATAAACCAGTGTCGAGAAAAACTCGTTCAAAGCTAGACTACACAACACTCCGCACCGTCATTATGGGGGTGGGGCACTATTACAGTATTTACGGTAAGTATAAAATGGGTCTTTCATCGATTTCCCTACCTGTGCTTCAGCTCGACTCATTTCTTGATGAAAACGACCAAAAATCGTTTCCACTGTCACCATCATTAACACATCATCAAGCGATTTTTCGGCTTTCTCCGATAACTATAAAAGAGATGATAGATAAAACAAATGAAAAATATAAAGTCGGCTGAATACTTTTTGCTCATGGTCAGGAATGACAAAAAAACTGGGTCTTTAAAGTGTTATTTTTTGATACTCACCTTTCTCAATGTTCTGCTCATCATGTTATCCAAAGAGCTTGCCTCGAAATGAAAAAGATTTTCCTAGAGAAAGATTTTTATTGATTGCGAGTTCGGATACAAAGTACTTACCGAAAAGAATTGTTCAATATTGGAGCCGAAACGGAAAAGTGACAAGACGACAGCGTTTGCCGCGACTGATGGGAGAACACGCTGAAATTGAGAATGTGATGCAGTAAAGGTGATTTTGAAATCTTGAGAACACAATTCAGACCTGTTTTGGATCTCTTTTGAGTAGATCTCGTACAACTTTCTTCACAGTGAATGTCACCGGTTCGGGTAGATCAGGCAACTCCTCTTCACCATAAGTTGCCGATTTCAAACGATGGTAGAAGGGATTTCTTCTGAAAATTATTGGAGATTATTGGAGATTATTGGAGAATAATCTATCGCATCCATAGATTATTTGAGGTTTTATACTCAGAATAGAAATGATTTTTGTTTCTCTCTGGTGTTCTCTCACCTCGTGTAAATCTCATAGGCAAGTCCGCCCGTTGCCCATGTGTCCGCCATTGAGAAATCGATGTACGATGAATTGCCTAGAGTTTGAAAATTGCCTAGAGTTTGATTCTATCAAAACTAATATAAATGTTTAACAGAATTTAAATTTGACTCTTTGAAATTTCACAAACCGGCTCTTGCAGTGATCACTTCTGGCGCTCTTGTCGCCACATTTCCACCCAAATCCACGTAATCATCCCTAAAAAGTGAAAGATCTGCTAAACTTTTTGAATTGAATTGATAAGCTAAAGTTTCTTCGAGCTTACTTGTAGTGAACTTTCCATGAACTTGTGGCAAGAGCACATCCAAAGTCAGATATAACCAGTAGTGGGATCTCATCTAAATGCTTTTTATATCTTTTTGTAATTGATTTACTTGATATTCTTTACCGTAATGATCAAATTCCAGTAAAACATTGTCCGATTTCATATCCCTTTGCGCCACACAATTTTTGTGTAAGAAAGTGACACCCTATAAAGCTTTAATCTTTTTAAACAGATGAACTCACTTCTAATAATTGTGCCAGCATTACCGTCCCCCTATGTACATCAAGTGAAACGGGTAATTGTAGATATTCATGAAGATTCATACGATATCTAAAAAGAGAAAGAGAAAAGATGAGTGATCTAAAAAGATGCCACCTTTTCATCACAACAAACAATGTCTTTGGATCAACGTCAAGTGGAGGGATTGCTTCAGGATATCTGAATTGAATCTTTCATAATTGATGTCATAATTTTAATAGGTGCCTGTATTCGGAGAGATTTTCTAACCTGATATGAGCATCGGCAAGAATCGGCATTGTATCAACGAATGCCGTGTGAACTTTGACAATATTTGGATGAGATGAAGGCAATGCGAATCTGAAGGGAAACACACTGATGTTTGATCTGACTTGCTTCCATTTTCACCTCCCAAATTTCCCCATTAATTTCTTTTCACTTCCAGGCAAGGGCACCAGTTCAGCTCCCATTTCTCTCCACAAATATTCCTCTCCCGGCAATTCGTGGTCATAGTTAAACATCAACTTCAACGCCAACGGATATTTCTGGAAACTTATGGTATGGTACTTGCAATATTACAGTACTCACCTTGAATTCATCATCTCTGTTCAGATCGTTGACTCCCGATGAAGTTGATGGAAGAAAGGCCAATCCCGGGTCAACAGTGAATCCCGAAGCTCTTTTCAGATTCATTTGTCGATCTCGAAGTTTCAAAGAATAAACAGCTCCATTTCCTCCTTTTGCTATGAAATCGCCTAGAGTTCTCTATCTTGAATTGCCATAAACTATTCACTAACCAATATCATAGGCATCAATTCTCTCGGGTAACTCGTCTTGTCTCAATGCAGGATTGTAGCGTTCTTTTGTTGCGAATACGTCCTGAAATTTCTATTGTAGCTTATAAATTTGTGATGGCTATCTACTAGAATAATTATGGTATGGTAATTATGGTAATTGTATTACCCGAATCCTCTCCACAACACCAACTTGTTTAGCTTGCTTCACAAAATGATTGAAGTTTTGGAATCTGAAGTCAGAATTTCAAAATGAACAGCTAGTTTTTTTAAAACCTTGAATTGGATCGAATGAGGTGTCGATAATGAGGGATTGAGACAAAAGGCCGAGAGAATAAACGGTGATGTCTCAACAAGTTTTGACCCTAAAAATTTTTAAGTTTTGAATTTTGAATTTTTAAGGAAACAACCATATGATCGTATATTTTTTCTTTGAAGCATTCGTTTACTTACGAATCTAAAGATGAAATTTCTGGGGACCCGTGGAGGGGCTCGAGGCAAATTCTTAACAACAGCGGTGATTTGCGGGACGAGCGGTTGGAAGACCCGCGGAAAGAGACGAGTGTGTCTGGCTAACTGAAGAAAAGATAAATGTACTATTGTTTGAATCTTTAGATACTGCAAAATATCAGTATCTTGTCTCACTACACTGTGAGAACAATCGAACCTCATTTGCAATCCTCAAAGCTCCTTTCGCAAAACGTTTCATCGACATTTTTTTCACAGCTTTCCTCAATCACATAGCACTTGTAATCCTTTCTGAAAATGATTCAGATTTAATGTCCTTGCTTTTTGATTGAAATTTTCTGTTGTAAGAGTAAAATAAGGGGCATTTCTTCTCGAGGTCAGCGGTCATATTATTTACCCTCTGTAGGTCTAGCCCTAAAGTTTCGTCTCAAGAAAAGAACGATTACGGTGGATTCTTCTATGATTCGTCATTCAACTAGGGTTTTGTGTAATGAATAAGTAAATGAGAAAACTTAATTCAAAGTTCAATCAGTCAATAGTCAATAGCTAAAAAAGCATAAACTGTATGTAACAGCGATAATCTTGGAGACTTCAATCGTAAAACTGAAATCAGGATCTAAACTTGAGAAAAGCTGGTTCGGGAGTTTCTAGTTTTGAAGAGACTTGAAAGAAGCCTTTGTTTAACTGAATTACAATTTATTCTGACTCTTTAGTTTCCCTGAAACCATTTCGACATTTGTGATGAGTCATTTGAAGGGAGAAAGGGATTCGGTCATTTATTGATCATCTCAACTTACCAAATTTATTGACTGAGCCAAATGACAAACATTGCGAGCGAATAATGGAAAAGAAAGTGAAATGGCTAAATATGTGTGAATTATTCACACCACTTTCCAAAATTTTGTAGCACTTTTAGTAATCAACGAGTTTTTTCGAGAATAGAGTTTCACATTTGGTTTTTCCTTGCAATTAGCTTTCATTCAAGATTTTTCTCATCCATATTAAAAGTCAAAAGAATTGAAATCTTCATGGGAAACAAAGCTATTCAGAATCCTGAATTCACTCAAACTTTTTTCAAACAACTTTTCCATACCATTTGCATACCTTGATACCTCAATGAACTTTTCATTTGTTCACTTTTCCCTTACATTTAAATCGATTCTCTTTATAAACCCTAATATTTTCGTTTTCAGAAAGAAAATTCCAATACCCAGTAATCTTCTTGATTTTCCCCATATCTCAATTCAAGGGATTGTGAGGGCCGTTTGGGTGAAGAGACGAGGGCCCTATAAGACTGAGAGAGGTGAAGAGAGGAAGGAGAATACGAGATGTTTTGTTGTCTCTCATATTGCCCCCATATTCTGCTTTTCCTCTCTTTTGGCTGTGCATCCGATTGACTCTCCTCGATTTCTCACCGCCCTTTTCCACATCTCAGCCCTTTCTTTTGCCTTTTTTGGGAGAGTCGGTTTTTTTCTGGTGGAAGTGAATACAACTTCACTTCATACCCTTCTTCATCTTCGGCTCTTGTTTGATTCTCTTTTGGCTCAGCTGTGAGAAAGAGAGTCTTGGAGAAATCCATCCCATTTCGTCTTCTCGGAATTATTCATCCGCCAACTTTTGATATTCTCTCAGCTTGGGAAGGAATCGAATTTCTTTCACATCTTCGTCGAAAGGTGGCAAAATGGAGTAAGTGGGCCGTTTCGTGGTTGACTGGAGAGGATTAATCAAGTCTTTATCTCTTCACTCGACTTTTTGACTCTATTTTACTTTTTGCGACAAAAGTTCCTGGTTTGGTACCAACTTCTTTAATCTCAGTGAAACCCAAATATCAATTCCAACAAAATATTTTTCTTCGACTACAATTTTTTCTCAATATTGATTTAAATAACTTAATATCGAAGATCTACATCACTCAGAATTTTTATATTTTTCTAAATTTTCAAGCCGAGAAGAATCAGATTAAAAGAAAACTTCAAACGGAGTTGACGTGGGATTAATTAATCGGAGAAGGGGCGTGTGTGCGTGCGTGTTTCGACTACTTGAGTGCCCTCTCAAAGGCCTCACTATAAGATTTCGATCTAACGAGAAATGAAACACAACAGGAACTTTTTAACGCAAACATCTACATTTTAACACACTTTATGTAGCTTTCCCCTATTTAATGCTAAATAAAGTGATGGGAGAAAGTATTTAAAGGGCCGTCCTTGAACAAAGTAATCAAATTTTGCGCAAGTTCCCGACTCTGAGAGAGTACTTTGTTTTTTGCAACTCACTTTTCTTCCTAAAACTTTCTTCGATTTTTCCAACGCAATTTTTTTATTTTAGCATGAAAGAAGACGGCCGTGTTCGTCTGAATGTTGGCGGACAACTTTTCGAAACAAGTGTTTTCACTCTAACTCGTTATCGAGATACTGTAAGTTTTAAGAAACCATTGAATTAAAATGACTTTTAATGAAACTTGTTTTAAAACAAAATTTAGCAGCACGATTTAAAGATGACTTACGAAGAAAACCCTAGATTCTATGAACTAAATATGTACAATACCCATTCATTCAAAAATAAAAAAAAACATTAATTGTAATAGTAAACGCAAAAATTACCAAAGAAGTTTGACATTAAAAATTTCTCGTTGTTTGTGCCTCGGATGTTCATTACATTCCACATGAAGACGTCCTTCCACTCGAATGAAGTAACAAGATCGACATCGAAGCTTCAAACGGGTCTTCACTTTGAAATCGGCCGTTTGTTGATGCATTGGCGTTGTGGGCACACCGAGTATCCTTCGAGAAAGTTCAACTCCATTCCGCATAACCAGGCGAACGACGGAAGTATTCATTCCTGAAAAAAACAAATTGATAAAATCCATCTCAAATTCAACGCACAAAAATATAGAAACGGAATAAAGGAATTTAGCTATTAAATAAAGGAATTTAGGTCTTGGCTACAATGGTCGAAGAAAGATGGACAAGTACACAGCAAGATCAGGAAATTTTCATTGACCGAGATCCTACAAACTTTAATCGGTTGGATGAAGAGAAATTTCAGAAATCATATTCGTTCAGAATTTTGAATTTCCTACGAGATGGAGCCGAATTCTTTATCATGCCCAAAGATGATAAAACTGTAGAAGAGCTTCGGAAAGAATCATTGGTGAGCCAAAAAAAGCAATTCATGAAGAAAACTAAAAATTCAGTTCTACGGGATAACAGATTTGGTAGCACTATGCGATGCCTTTCTTGCCCCCTTTCAGGTGTTAAAGCAGCTGTTAAAAGAAATGTAAGCAAGCAGTTTAGGTCGGCGATACCGTGGGATGGCGACCGGAAGCAATACCCCTCTACTGGCGATCTTTTGTCAGGTACATGGCAGGTATAATATGAAAGAAATGAGAGAATTCGAGGTATATGGTCGACGACACCCTGACTCTGCCCTTCATTTACGATAGGTTAACTCTAAAAGACTACATTCATAAATCAAAAATTTAGAAACAATCATATTTTGGCAAAATGCATCGCCTGCCAAGAATTCCAAGACCCAAAGAGCACCTATCTAGTGGAAATCAACTACCTAGTAAGATTTACCCTCACCCCACGTTTACAAGGCCCATTTAGGACTGGGAACCAATGAAGCATCACATGGAGATAATGACCGCTGATATAGTCGAAGTAAAATCGATAAAAATCTTTAAAAAAGAATTCTAGATGATGGGTCGTTGTTGCAATGTTTCATGGGATAATGGGCAGCAAATTCATCTACCCTGCTCGGCTTTGAGAAGAGCCTCGCCGGCGGAAGAACGATAAAATAAAACATTGCACACATAACATTCTCAATATCGGCAATAAAGTTAAGATTTGGTGGTAGAATGAACACTCACATGCAAAATTTTTAACAGGCAAAACACTCAAACCGTACCAGCCTAACCAAACTACTTATGTATATTTCTTGTTCTGCCCCTAGATAATTCAAAATCCGGATCTACCTACCTAGTTATACGACCAGTCCGCTTATTAAGCCTACGTTAAAGCAATCATCGTTTAGGAGAAAAATTAGATGCAGATGTGGCATGAAAGATTGAAAATAGCTGGCGAAACATCAAGTAATAGCAATAGTAAATCAACTAATCAAGTAATTATTAAGACACAAGATATTCCGGCAACTAAATGACTATTGTGAAGATCAACCTGGTTGATCAGATAGAAATAAAATCTGCAGCCGAATTTCGTTTACCAAAAATTGCACTGCGGAACTTGCTCGTTTATTTCATTTACGCCTAAAACTTTTCTACGAAATTTTGGGAGCAAAGAAACGAGGCAACATAGAATTGACGTGAAAAGTATCGTTAGGTTGTTTACTACAATAGTTTTTGACAGCTCCATTGATTGTGTGTCGTGTTTTATTTTAACGGCTACTGATTTCTCTTTCATTTGTTTGCAGTTTATAATAATAGCCGTGTGTGCTTTAGATCGCTCAAAGCATCTTTCGTCAAAGCCTGATGTCGGCAAGGAAGCTGAAACTAGTTGGATTCTCAAAGACACAAATTGATTTTGATGGTAAGGCTTTTAGTTCTTTTTTATTTACGAAACTGTCAAACCTCGAGGCTTAATTCCACGTTATTTTATCACATTCAAGGGCTAATGATATGTGTTTAGATGATTCTGAGCTGGCTTCGCTCGTTGCCCATCTCGACGAAAAATTTTTCAACAAACGGTCCGAAGATTGGCATCTGAAGTTTATGGACGAAAAAAACAAAGAAGCCTTTGCGAAAAGTTTGGAGGAAGTTGGTTTTTTAAAATTTAAATTAGAAGTCATTAAAATTTGTAAACAGTTTTCTAAAATTTTGCAGCTTTTAAAGTAAACGTTCATGATAGTTTCAATTTAGTATCTTGTTGAATTTGGCATTGATTTTTCAAACGATCCTTCGATATCTCGCCTCTATGTTTGCGACAACTTACTCTCACAAGCAGTAGATGTAATTTACAACAAAAATGGTTTGTTTGTCAGCTTTGCGTTTGAATGTTTCATTGTTCAAATTTAGAAAACGTTCACAATTACACGTCACATCAAGTAAGCAAGTTGCGAGAGGCACGAATTTCTTCGGCAGAGTCTTCTAAAAATCCCTTAAACACTATCGACTGTAAGTTCTAGCTTTTTATCATGGTAAGAGTCTTTTAGGTACAGAAACGAATATTCGAACGCAAATTGTTGATTTATGCAAGTCGCTTGGCATCATTGAGCATCCAAATCCTGTAAGTTTTCTTTGTAGCTAAAATTTATAAAAATATTTTTTTTAGGAAGTTATGTTGCGAGCGGCTTGTCAATTTATTGAAGAAAACTTGGCTGAAGATGAAATAAGGCAGCGGGCCAATGAGGAGAAAGAAGCGAAGCCAAGGGTAAGTACATACATATTTGCTACAATAATGAAAAAATTGTTTAAGAATGAATTCTCTTTCAAAAACTTTCCCGTTGGTCTTGATGATCAGAAGGACGCTGCATTAAATTCAGGTAGGCATTTTAATCAGTTTTAATTATTTTTAACTTTAGCGGCAAGATGTCTCCGACTTCTTTCCGTTGCTTCTCTACGCGAAACACAAACACGCATCAACGAAACACTGGCCGCCATTCAGAATCTGACAATGACGGCGAAGAAATAAGCGCTGTACGGGGTTGTTTTTTTAACGTTGAGCATTGATTATTTGTTTTCACTTTTATCGGGTGTATGTTTCGTTTTAATTATTTCGTTTTGAATAAAAATTTTACTTTGCTCGCAAAGTTCACCTAAAGGATTCAGTGATCAGTGATCGTATCTTTTTCCTGCTGCGATGTTTCAACCAAGATGTAGCTTGGAACTAACGTTTTCAGGGTATGCTTTTCCGTCGTGCATTCTCGACTACTAAGGCCCTTCGGAGCGACCTGATTCAACAAGCATTTATCAGCAAGGTTCGTTACATTCAGTTCAGTTTGATTTATCTGTAAGAATGCTTATTTTGTTTGAATCTGATTTAGGTGAAAGAGCTTCAAAGCATCGGCTCCGAATTGGCAAACAAGGATCCAAATGTCAAGAAAGCTCTACAGGTTCTAAAAAGCCATCATTTTATTATTAAACTTGCTTATAGGAGGAACTGAATCGCGTCGCTCAGAAATATCAATTGGGAGCTGATAGTGTTTCGAGGCTTGGAGTTTCATTTAAAGATCCAAAGGTGACTACTTTTTTATTTTTTCATATAAAAAATTATCTGCAGGTTGAATCATCTTTTACCGCAGCATACGAAAGCGTTACTATTCAACAGCTCCTTGATCAAGTTAAGAAAGACGAGAAAAGTTTTCTCAGCCAGAAGGTGATTTTTGAACCCTTTTTGAAAGTGACCCTTTAATATACTTCAATAAAATGGATGTATTATTTGAGGCTGCTCGGCAAGCAGAGGAGGCCAAACGTAATGCATCGATCAACGTCAAGAACTGATTAAATTAAACATAGGAATCAAAAATCGTTTTTATTTTTAGTTCTTAGGGTACATTGTTTGTTCATTCATCATTCATTTATGGTCATTGTTTGTCAATTTGTTTGAAATAATGAATAAAACTGTGATACAAGGAGAATTTTTGAAAGGTGGTCTTATTACGCTGATTTCTTATTTTTCCAAGATACGCAAAGTGAGTCATTCTCAAATCTTGACCCTTTCAGAATGGCGACACCAGAAACAAGGCAGCGACCAAACATCCTCATCACTGGATCTCCCGGTAGGTTTAGCTATTTTTCAATTATTATTTACTCAATTTGTTGTGCATATAGCCTTACTCATTATCCGTGTGTTACTCTTTGTGTCTATTACTACAAATAAATTTCAGGCACAGGAAAAACGACTTTGGCTGCACAAGTTGCAGAAAAACTCGGCTATGATTTTATTAACGTGAGTTTCAACATTGAACTGTAATGAATAGTTTGTTCATTTAGGTTAGCGAAGAAGTGAAAAATCATCGTTTGTATTCGGAATTCGACGAAGAGTATCAAAGTCATGTTCTCGATGAAGATAAGTTATTGGATCATATAGAGGTAAAGAAATTCTTTTTGACTTGTCTATCCTGTTTTAGGATCGAATGAATAGTGATCACGGCGGAGTAGTCGTCGAGTATCATGGTTGCGACTTTTTTCCGGAAAGGTGTTTTTAAAATATTTATAAGTAGAGCTTTTCCATCGCTTTCAACTAACGTCTATTCTCAGATGGTTTGATTTTGTCATCGTGCTTCGTTGCGATAATACACTCCTTTATGACAGACTAGCAGCACGCGGATATCCCGATCGTAAAGTAGGCTAATGGTTTTCCAATTTTCCGAAAATTCTTTATTAGCTTTTTTAGATTCGTGAGAATATCGAATGCGAAATTTTTGGATCACTTACGGAAGAAGCACGAGAATCTTACCCAGCAGAGAGAATACACGAACTAGTGGTTTTCTATAAATGATTATCTCAGTTTCGTTTTCGAAGTTTAGTCTGAGACAGTTGAGCAGATGGATTCCAATGTCGATCAAATATATCAAATGGCTTCTGGGTGGAAAAAATAATACATTGATTTTAGATTCTTATACTTTAGTGTTTTTTGTGTTATAATTTGTTATCTTTTTGTTAATAAATGTAGTCTTTAAATCGAATTTGACTCAATATGTCTTGGACAAAAGTATACTTTGAGACAAAAGTTTGTGTAACTGTACAGCGTACACAAAAGTGCAATCATGTGATGGCTATAATATTTATTCTATTTTTCAGGCGAGATGTGTCAAATGTGGCAACGGATACGGTACGGTGTGAGGTGGGTCCCGCGGGAACGATTTGCGCTGGCTTGCCGTGGTCTCAACTTGGCAAAGGTAAATTTTGATAGATAAGCGTTTTGAAGCTAAACAAAAAAGTAAAAGTAGTATGACAAGAAAGCGCCATTAAATTTCCTTTACTGTAGATTATTTCTATCGTTTAGGTGAAAACAGTCGACATCACGTTTGATCCTTTCCACCCGTCAACTAGAGCCATTCGGTTAGTTTAATGCTTTTTAACGTTCATTTTTTATTCAGAAGTTTCTGGGAAGCTATTTCGGCTCCAAAAATAAAAATGACAAATCCATCTCTTCGAGTGAAAGCCGACATTCGGAATGATCAGTCATCACCATTTTTTGTCGCGACGTTAGGTCAGTTCTTTGTAGGATTTTTTCTTACCTACAATTTTATTTTTATCATTGGGGAAATACATAGATAAACCACCTACTGATGTAGTGCTTGACGTTGATTTTTAAACTTTTGGCTAATAGATTTTGATTACATTAACTGTTTTAGATGACGGAAAACGACTACGCTTTGAAACAGAAAATATGCATCCAGTTGATCTGATAATGCGATTCAATCGACTTCTCGGCAATCCGGAATTGGGTAAATCAGGAACTCGTCCTCGACCGAAATTGTAAATACTTTTGATTGTTAATATTTAGGTGTACTTTATGATAGAAACTTTCGTTTTGTTATGTCGAATGTCAATAAATTTGTACCAAAATTCACTGTTAAATTCTCATAACACAAAGATTTTAACGTTTCAATCTGGTAGTCAATTTCAATCTGGTAGTCGAAGAAGATGCCACCATAAATTGCACCTAAACAGATAGCCAGGGGGCTGATTGTGATGGAGTGGATACTCGAAGAGAGTGACCTTGAAGGGGATCGAGGCGGAAAGGATCGATCTTTTTCTCTCTTTTACTAGAACTCTCTTCTCTATCTTCTTGACCTATCTAACCTTTTGCTACTTTTAAGAAAAAAGTACACCAATATTATTACTATTTCATTCCTTTTGACATCACTTCACTTATGGGAAAGGTGGATTTTTTGTTCGATTTCTTTAAGGCCTTTTTCAGAAAGGCTCCGTTATTCCAATAGATGGATATTGTAAAGAAGGATATGCTCAAATAAAGGACAGTTTTCGGTATTATTTTGTTTCGTTTCTATTTTTAAAATTATGATCTAGCAAAAACTTTGAGGAACGCTGGGAAGCTGAGGGATCTTCGTTTGCAGTTTACAAGTAAATTTACATTTAACTACATCCACTGTGTAGAAAGGTGCAAGTTTTACCAGGACTACTTTGCTATTTCTATGAAAAACATCACTTGCAGATTTTGATCTTTTTTTGATTATAGAGATGGTGAGCTGATAGTGGATATTTGGGGTGGATATGCAGAGAAAAAGTATGGCCGCTTTTGGAAAGAGGAAACATTGAGTACGATATTCAGTATATCAAAGGTACGGTAGATTCAACGCTCGAAAATCTTTCAATAGTGACTCTTTTTTTAGAGTTTTGCCGCAATTTGTTTCGCAATGCAAGTGGATCGAGGGGCTTGCTCATACCAAGATTTGGTCAGGTTTGGTTCATATAAAATTTCTGTTTTTGCTTCTGCGGACACAGTTTCTGCTAGAAGTCAAAACAAAATGAATGAAAACAAACAAAATGAATGAAAACAAACAAAATGAATGAAAACAAACAAAATGAATGAAAACAAACAAAATGAATGAAAACAAACAAAATGAATGAAAACAAACAAATGAATGAATGTTTCTTTTTGTCGGGGTTACGGTGGCCGTTAACTGAATATCTATTTGAGGTCACAAAATACTGGCCTGAATATGGAAAAAATGGAAAAGAGACGACAACGATCGAGCAGCTGTTGGCACATCAGGTAGAACAGAAAGCTTCCAAGTTTAAACCAAACTTTAAAAACTGGATTACGGTAGCAAATGACAGTGGGATTGCGGTAGCTTTTTAAAAGATTATGGTACTACGGACTACAGTAGTTTTTTTGGAAATGCTCAGTCAATCAGAATTGGAATTTGGGTAACCCGGTTTCTGGGATCTTAATAGATAAGGTGTACAAATTCGATTGTACAATTTTCTAGAGTGGAGTCCCTTGTCTTTCAAAGGAATTGAAGCTTGATGAACTGACTGATGCACAGAAAATGGACGCAATTGTCGAGGCTGAAACATCAAGATTCCCACCGGGAAGGTAAGTGGAAAGAAAAAGCTCTAGCAGGATAATTTATTGAATTTTTAATGTATTTCTGTAATGTATTTCTTTAGTAAAACAGCTTATCAACCATTTACTCATGGATGGATGGCCGATGGTTTGTTTCGAAGGATCGATAAAAGACAACGAAGCATTGCACAATTCTACAATGAGGAGATTCGAGATCGATATGGTAAGGAGAGAAATCAAGATCAGATAATTTTATTAGAAGATACTTTACTGTACAAAGTACAAGGAAGCTTTTCTGCAAGTCTCCAAAGCGTAGTAAATAACTTTCAGATATTGACGTTTACATTGGCGGGACACAATTGGAGGAATTTCGTATCGCTCGCCTCAAACCATTCACAACAGCCGGATTGTTGAGGTTTCGTGGCAATAATAATTAAGAAATATTGTCCAAAGACCATAAATAAAGCACGACAAATGGAAGACATCGATTTAGAGAATGCGGCTACAGCCGTGGAGTGGCCAAAATGGGAATCGCTTGCATCAAACCGAGCAGCTTCTTTGCGCAAGGGCTCGCCAATATGAAGAAATTTGGGAAAGTAAGTCTTCCAAAAAAATGCTTGCTATTAGTGCTTTAACAAGTTAAAGTGTCTATATAAAATTATCCAGGATTTCACAATGTTCAACAATCCGGAGCTACGAATTCTTGGACAAACGGCTGTGAATGGAATTGGAACAGCTCGGGGACTGGCTAAGGTTGGGAAACGAGGTTTAAGAAGGTTAATAGTTTCAGAAATCATAAAGCTTCTTAACTTTATGAAAAAGTTTTTAGTTAAACCTTTATTCAACTTTAGAAGTTTGAAAATTCAAAGAAACTCTAAAGAACCAAAATTTCAGGCTCATCAGGTTTTCCTTGAAGGCAATTTGATTGGAAAAGAGTTGATGGAGGTAAAAATTATATAAAATTGATTGATAACAAAAATCGACAGAAAATTTCAACTCCAATGTTCCCATATGAATTCGACGAGACTCTTGGAGAGAATTTGAGTAAAGGATTTGGATGGATGTATTGGAAAGGACCAATGGTTTGTGAGCTTTAGATCAACACAATTGATTCTCATTCTGCCAACTGCTTGACAATTGGCTGTTACCTGAACATTTCAATTTCAGGGTAGTTGGCAATTCGGTCATACGGGCGTTGGCGGACAAAATGTTCGCATTGATCCCGAGAATGGATTGGTGAGGAGATAAAAGCCTTTGTTCCGTAATTTTCCCAATGACAAACCAGTCTTTGATAAGTTAACTCCCTCTGGAGTAATCGATGTCAAATGCCTTGTGGTGTAATGGTTAGCACATTTGCCCGATAAGCCAGGGGTCGTGAGTTCGCGTTCCGGCGGCGCACTTTTTTGATCTACCCTAGTTCCAACTGATACTAGCTGCACTGGACTTAAAATATTAGATTAATTGACATTTCCCACCCGGACAGTTCCCACCCATTTTTGCTATGTATTTTTTGCTGCGTTTTGTAGTACAACATTTCCAACTTTAATAGTTTACATTTTTACACCGTTAAAGCTTTATACATAGCTTTTAAAATTTATTCACTTTTAACAAAAATTAAACAGCATTTTACAACAAAAAAAACTTTGGCTAATAAAAAGAAAAGGTGCGCAAATGTCCGGGTGTGCAAACAAAAGATCGCATTTGCCCCACTCCCATGTTTTTAGTTCCGGAACTAATGGCAAATCATACATGCCCGACACTTTGGACAGCAAGTAGGTTCAAAGTAGATTGTTTCAAATATTCTTTTTTTCTTAAGATTCAAAAAGCATCCGATGCTTTTGTGGCCTAACAAAATGTGCTAAATTGTCCAAGAAATCACAACAATCTGCATAAGAAATAGGACCAAACAAATTGCTAAAAGTAAATATTAAATTAGCGACTTTATCTTGTCCAATTTCTTCCTGTTTTGTGCGCGCTCTTTGTGGCAACGTTCCGTTTTTGATTAGATCAATCTGCGATTTGACGTCGTCAAATTCGTCTTTCGACAGCATCAGCATATCTTTGATACTCAGGCAGTCATCTAAAACAGTTTTACTGTGATTATAGATTTACTAACTTACAAACTGATGCAAATTTAGTAAAAAAGACTGACAAGAAACTAACTTACTTATCAATAAGTGCCCGACACGAGTATGATAACCTTCAATAGGATTGTTGGTTCGTGAGCCCAAGTGTCGAACGTGTAGCAAATAAGCTAAAAAGTCATTGTTTAATGCTTTCATAGAATAAGAACATACCACTTTTATCGCCATAAGGCCATAGCCATTCTTTTGCACATCCGTGGCAATTGTATGATGAATAATCTCCGTCTTTCTTTGGTGGCTCTTTCTTGTGTTCATATATGTAGCATGCCCGGATTTAAAATGCGCCACAAAAGCATCGGATGCTTTTTGAATCTTAAGAAAAAAAGAATATTTGAAACAATCTACTTTGAACCTACTTGCTGTCCAAAATGTCGGGCATGTATGATTTGCCATTAGTTCCAGAACTAAAAACATTGAGCTTGAATAAGCCTGCAAAATTGAAAAAGAAACGCAAAAACTAAAATCTATTACAGAAAAAATGTATAGCAAAAATGGGTGGGTAATGGGGAGTGGGACAAATGCGACCTTTTTTTGCGCACCCGGACATTTGCGCACCTTTTTTTCCGCACCTTGCCCATTAGCGCGGGAGTGGGACAAATGCGACCTTTTTTTTGCGCACCTTGCCCATTAGCGCACCTTTTTTCGCGTTTTAAAAAGCTCTAAAAAGCTAATATTAACCAATTTCTATTCCAAAAGTTGTTTTTCTAGGTAATTTGAGGGTGTCGAATTCAAATTTTGACATATCAGAGCGTGTGGAACCAATTTGAAAGACAAAACGGCTAGATCAAATTACAGAAAATTGTCGATTTTTCTCTTTGTATAACTCCGTCCGTTTGTTTCCACAAGCTCTGATATGTCAAAATTTCGATTCTACGCCCTAAAATTACCTAGAAAAAGAACTTTTGGAATAGAAATTTGTTAATATTAGCTTTTTAGAGCTTTTTTAAAACGCGAAAAAAGGTGCGCTAATGGGCAAGGTGCGGAAAAAAGGTGCGCAAATGTCCGGGTGCGCAAAAAAAAGGTAGCATTTGTCCCACTCCGAAAAACATTAAGCTTGAATAAGCCTGCAAAATTGAAAAAGAAACGCAAAAACTAAAAACTATTACAGAAAAAATGTATAGCAAAAATGGGTGGGTAATGTTCATTTAGCACATATTTATCAAAGCTTTAATCATTACTAAAATATTCAGGTATACGCCTATTTATGCAATGGATTAAAAGCAGGCACAGGCCCATATTGTTTCACTTTTAATCGACTCGAGAAAAAACTCTACGATTGCTTCAAAAAGGAGAAAAATGATCAAAAAGGAGAAAAGAAATGAAAAAATATATTTATTTAAATAAATTATTCAATCAAAAGACAAAAATACAGCACAAAAAACACTTGTCGCTTAAATTATTGAATAATTTTTGTACCATTTAACTTGCAATGAGTAAAACAGACAAAAATGAGATAGTTGTGACCCATATTAAAGAAAGATTTTTGGTTAAGTGAAAGAAAACCGTTGAAATAGAGGCTCTATTCGTTAAAGATCGTCACCATTTCTTTCTTAAAACAAAAACGGGCAAATATAATATTGGATGATCAGTGTCCAACCAATTTCCATCTAATTTTACTGGATCGATTTGACTGTTCAAGAAAGTGTCCATCAATTCGAAACCTGGAAGAAATAGAAATTGCTGTAGTTATTTATTGGATTTCAGGGGGGTGGGACAAATGCGACCTTTTTTGCGCACCTGGACATTTGCGCACCTTTTTTTGCTGGAAAAGGTCTTAGGAAAGGTCGTAGAGCTTCAAAAATGTTTTCATAGAAGGGAATCGTATGTGTAGATTCCGAATTTCGACAAATCAGACCTCGCTGACACGTCAAATTTGGGCTAAAAGGCAAAAACTACGCAACTTAACGCTTTTCCGCAGTTTTTGCCTGTTAGCTCAAATCTTACGTGTCAGCGAAGTCTGATTTGTCGAAATTCGGAATCTACGCATACGATTCCCTTACATGGAAATATTTTCGAAGCTCTACGGCCTTGCCTAAGGCCTTTTCCAGCAAAAAAAAAGGTGCGCAAATGTTCAGGTGCGCAAAAACAAGGTCGCATTTGTCCCACCCCCGATTTCAGTTCGCATTACCTGCAAATAGCATCGGCAATCGTATCCTTCCGTACATTCGCCTTGTATTCAAATGAAGAGAATCTCGACCGATTGTGTCCCCAAAAAATAGAATTCCGTCCTTCTTTAAAGTGCAACCAATCTAAATTTGATTTATTTGAAAAAGCTTTTCTAAAATAGATAGCCATTTTGATTACTGTATCCTACCCGAAGAATAGCATCGATATCAGCAAATGGATCAACAATCTCGCCATTCATTCCCAATCCCAATTTACTCAATTGAGCAAAAGAGACAACAAAATCGTATCGTTGTGAATGACTAAAAGAGAAATAGAAAACTTTCAACTAAACAACAAAAACTTTTCATAATTCTTTGCCAAATCGAAAGGAGTGATGTATTGAAGACGAGAATCCCGATTGGAAAGGATTTTCTGCTGTTCGACGATCATCAAATCTTTGGCACCGTGCTGGAGTTTGGGGTTGAGTAGACTAGTTACTGGATCGTATCATCCAAACTCACCATAATCGCAAAGTTCTCCACCCAAGGCTCTTTTCCATCCGATCCATAAATCATTCCCGATTTTCCCTCAATGGGAAAACGATCGAAAGCGTGATGTAAACCAACTAGAACGAATTTCGATAAAAAAAAGCCACAAATTTTGCTCACCACTTCCCCAATCCCATTCGGTGTTTCTCCAGAAATCATTTGGCACTTGGGAAATCTCGGCGAAATGATAGGAATCGATGTAGTTGAGAACATTGGCACGAGACCATTTGTTGATGATCTGGAATGACTGTAAGAGTTGAAGAAACTAGCTGAAGTTAGTCAAATCGAGTTCTGCGCTTCACCAAGTATCTCAAACTCACTTTGCTTTCCTCTTCTTGTTTCAATGTCGCCATTCCACCCATCAGGAAGGGACTTTTCTCATCAGGAATTGACGGTCTTTCAACGGAACCCGAATAGCCTTTGTATTGAGAAAAGTAGTCAACAAATGGCTAAAATTAAATATTTAATTGATATAGAAAGATTTTAAAACCTTGACACAATTTGGTCTTTGTATATGTTTGAGTGTTAGTAATGGTCTTGTCTCCAAATCGACAAAAAGTCCTCGTGGGCGATAGACTTTGAAATAGATCATTTCGAGGGAATGACTGAAAAAATTGAAAGATTATAAGCTATAAATTGAAAGATTATAAGCTATAAATTGAAAGATTATAAGCGATAAATTGAAAGAATATAGGCTATAAATTGAAAGATTAGAAGCTATAAATTGAAAGGTTATAAGCTATAAATCGAAAGATTATACGATGAACTCCAGTATTTTCTTTATTACAGCATTCTTTTACTCAAAATTCTTACCCCAAAATCGAGTTGAAGGGATTGAAAGAGGCGAATTCTTCTTGCTCCTCATCATACCCATCAAATGAGGACGAGTTGCCGTCTTTGAATGTGTACAGTTGACTGGAAAGATTGACATTTCGAAGGTTTATGGTGATTTTGGCTTTTTTTTTTAAAGTTCTCACCTCAATTCATCAGCCTCATCTTTTGATGTTTCGTATTCCAATTTCACAATCAACACAATGATCACGAAAATCGCACACAAAGCCAACCATTTCAATCCATCCCGTACGATCTCTGCCCACGTTTCTTCGACTTTAAATCTGAAAATTGTTGGTTTTCAGATTTAAAGTCAATTTTAAAGTCAATTTCTTTTAGAAACTACAATAGTTTTGAGCTTTCTTTCACTTATAAACTTATAAACAAACCGTTTTGTATAGGAATTTGAATAGGCTCCCATTGAGTCATGCTCGATTTGGTGATGAACTCATCGAGATATTTTCAGAACGACTATATTCATTTTGAGATTTGAGATGAGAACAAAGAAATCAATAAAGAAAAGAAAACAGAAAAGTTTATAAAAAGATTAGATTAGCATTGAGATAAGAATGTTCTCGGATTTGAAATTCAATCCGAGAAATGAGCTGTTTGGGTGGGATATAAAGAAAAAAACAGGAAATTAGATGTATCTTCTGTTTACCTTATCAAATTCTCTTATTTGCTATTTACAATAACCTTGTCAGATCCGTTGCATTGTAACTTTTGCACTCATTTTTCTCGTCCACAATTGTTCCATAGTAAAAATCGAGTTGAGCACACCCAAATTCACACGAATATTCGGGTAACGGGGAATCGCAAGAAGAAATTGAATTGAAAATCGGGAATTCTGGATCAACACCAATCCAGATACGGTGCATTTTTGGGATTATGGGGAATCGGGGAGAACTTGGTGAAGATTGAATGAAAAAAGCTCAATCTCATTCAAATAATATCCGTAATAGGTATGCTTGCGGTGAAATGAGAAAAGAAAAAAAGGGAAAAACGGAGGAAAGACTGGCAGTCATTTATAAGTGGAATGAGCTCAATTCTCCTTTTTTTGCCTGCCAAAAGATCAGTACTCATGAGAAAGTCCAGATAAAAGGAAAATTTCAGACTTATGGGAAATTAAGATGATTAACAGTGAAAAGATTTCGAAAATACAGAGCAATAAAAAGAAAATACAGAGCAGAATGTTTATGTTGGTAGTTAATGAAGATTTCCTCCTTGCCACTTGACAGAGAACAGAGAAGTTAATGCAAATTATGTGCTTTGAAGAACATGTTTGGCATGAGGAGAGAAATAATCCAATCAGAAACGGTTTGATGATCGATAGACTTTGATCAGTTTTTGAGGGAAGGAAGGACTAGACTGGCGGAGAAGATGGGAAGATGGGAAGAGTTTCTGAGTTTAAGAGTGTTCAAAATGAGTCCAAGGCACTGACAGGTCAGGCAAGATTGGAATAGACCGAAGCAGGACAGGTAAGAGCTGGGTCAGTGGCTTGTATACAATACATACAACCCAAAGCCCAGAAAACCCAACCAGATTAAGGTTAAAACCTTCAAAATGTACACAAGTTAAACAAACAAGCAGTGAAACAAAAGTAAGAAAGTATTGATTAGATAAATGCCTAAAATATGCAATGAGCTTTGATCTTCCCGGATTTCCCCGGATTTTTTCTGTTCCCGATATTTTTTAGGGCAATTCTAATGGGATTAACAACGAGGGGAAAACTTGGAAAAGAAAACAGGAAACAGGAGGAGTCTTTTAATCAATAGCAATGCATAAATTGATGAAAATTTTTGATGAAATGCACAATAAATCGAAAACGAAACTCTAGATGAAGGTAATGAAGCATGCAAAAGAAACAACCCACTTTGTCATTGACACTTTTCTCGACATTCAGATAAAGAGAGGTCAAATTGATTATAGGCAATCGAGAAGTTCGTTTGAAATGTAGAAAGTGTAAGGATTTGAATATGAATAAAGAGATGGAAATGAAATGGAAATAGAGCAAGATGGATGAAATCCCCTAAACCGGTAGGGAGGTTGATCTGTTGGGAAGAAAAGGGAAAGATTTCGGATTCAAAGACAATCCGAAAGGAAATCCCTCAAAATCGATCTCGTTTTGAGGAACAAATCCGTTTGAATTCTGATATTTCTGACATGTGAGGAAATTTAAAGAGCTCCCTCTTTGAACTATTTATGTAATGCAATTGATTGACTCAAAGGAGAGCATTCTCAACCAATCAAAGGAGAGCATTTTTGAGTGAGCGTGGTGAAAGCAATCACAAAAAAAAACAGCAGCGAAAAGAAAAACGATAAAATTGGTAGCTCTAGATCTAGCTCTTTTTATGGATGAATCACATAGATGATTTTAGGAGAAAGTGGAAGACTACGTTTCTGGAGCTAAAGAAAGTTTCGTGCTTGTCACTTTTTGCATTTTTCCATTGATTCTGAATCACCATGATAAATATGTTGACTTGTTGTGCATTTTGAAATGACTCAAATGGTTTTGAAGTCTTGTTAACGCTGACATGTCATGAGATGGCTCAGAGCTTCAATAAGCTTCACTAAATCATGAAGTGTTGTACTCAAATGAGCAACAATCAGTTCAAATAGTCGAAACAAAAGCAGGAAGTGTGAAATGGACAAAACAGAAACTATGCAAAGTGCAATGCACCAAGTCAACCTCAATGAGTCTAAAGGAAACGACTCTCCACCATCTCCCAAGGGGAAAACCATATAAACCCTTTGAAAAAGCTTTCCCTTTTCTCTTGTGAAACAGTCTATTCTTGAGGAGAGTTGGCACTCATTGAGGAAAAAGAAAAAGGGAAATGGGTGAAGGGGAATCAAGGGAATGGGCTATCCTTTTTGGAGGAGAAGAGGAGGATTTCTGGAGAAGAATGAAGGGAAAGGAAAGGAAGACTGTTGAGTGCCTTGACTTCCCTTCACATCTCTTGTGCTACATTTTTTTTCATATGAGCTTTTAGACGGGATAAATTTTGACGGAACGTTTTTTTTGAGGAAGAGGTTTTCGTGGAAGAAGTGTGCCGATTTGGAGAGAACTTTGTGGGAGGGCTAGTTTTGATGTTTGGTTCTATGAATTCGCTATTTACTTACTCAATTCCTTTACAATATTTTTTTTTGGATATTTGAATTGGAATCTTCAGATCCAAGATACATTGCAGGGATTACAGGGAATTGCAAGACTGAAAATTTGTGAAAATACAATCTCCACTGAATGCATATGAATTGAAAATACAATAGGCATATGAATGTCTATTGTACACAATAGGCAATGCCTCAAATACAGTACTCAGAAAATGAGCTGACGTTGAATATCTACATCAAGGTTTTTTGAAAGAGTGCAAAGCTATGTCTTTTCGAAATCTTCGAAGAATTTAGATAAAAAGTTGTTTATTTAAGATGTGTTTAATTGATAAGATTTATATTTAAGATTTAAGATGTTTAAGTGCTCCTCTTATTGTATTTTCGTTCTCAAAAAGATGAATATCTATCAATAGCTATCTACTTGAATATTCATCAATAGTATTTAGGCTAGAATGTACACAGAATTCTTCTAATTCAGAAAAGAGACTGAAATAATAAAAAGCTAAAGGAGATCATCGAAACAGCTGAAGGAATACGGTAGATTTGTTGAGATTAGAAATGAAAAGGAGAACAGAAAGGGAAATCGGCGAATGGGGAGATAGGTCATAGGGTGTTTTTGAAAGAAAAGTCCATTCAAAATCAATCTTGAAACATTTTTGAAGTCAAGAGGCTCAGAATATACCGAAAACATTCACTCTTGAGGGTCAAGAACTACATTGAAGTTTTAGTTTATTACATAAATCAAACGAAAGAAATGAAAGAAATGAAAGAAAAGCAAAAACCAGAAGCCAATGGCTTAGATCCTTGAGAAGTACAATCAAATCTCTCTTTGGTTTCTTTTGAGATTCTCCTCGACTTTTGAGGAGAAATTGTGGCGATTTTGGAGGAGATTTTTGCCAGTGAATTGTTTGAAGTCTCTTCAATCTCTGATCCTCTACGATAGCTTCTCTTTTATGTTGTTACAAGTGCCTAGCAAGTACGAATCGAATATTAGCTGTACATACTCGATGAAGATCCTAAGATTCATAAATGCAATTTAGAATGACAAAATTCGTTGGCTGAACGTGTCATAAAACTTGGTTTGATATGCAAAAACTTTTTCAATAAAATTTTGTGGAAGCTGAGTGAAAGGAATGGATTGAAGAAAAAAGGTGAAACAAAATGAGGAAGAAGAGAACTTTTCGAGAAAAGGGGAGGACGATTGGGAGCAAGTTTTGAGGTTATGCTTAGAGGTGAGGAAGGGGGAAAGAGGAGGGAAAGGTAATGGAAGCCTGTCATCTAGGGATTTGAAGAGGGTTTCAAGGGCTCGACAAAGAATGGAAACTTTTGGATCTATTAGGTGTGTGAAAAAGTAATCCACGTTTTTTATTTTTATTTTGTTTAACTAAATATATCTAAACAATTTTTAATTTTTTGTTAACGATATATATATATATCGTTTAAAAGCTTATTTTTTCCTCTTTCGAATGATATATTTATTTTGTTAAAAAGACGACAATAAACTACTTTCATTTTAGTTTGAAAATGGTATACACAAGTATCGTTATTCGGTCAAATTTGCTTTATGAGTTCAAAAATGGGTTGAAAGCTGCGGAGGCTGCACGTCGAATTCGGAATGCGTTTGGCGAAGACGCCGTTATTGATGATACCGCTAGGTTTTGGTTCCGACGATTCAAAGGTGGTAATGAAAGCCTAGAAGATGAACCACGTGGCGGTCGCCCTGAGACCTGTTCGGATGACCAAATAAGACGCTGTCTTCTCGAAAACCCTCGTTCAACCTCTTCAGAAATAGGCCTTACATTAAATTGTGATGGGTCAACCGTAAGGAAACGCTTGAATGCCATGAATTTTATCAAAAAGTTGGACAAATGGATACCGCATGAACGATAACGCGCGACCACATGTCTCTTTACAGACTCGACAAAAAATCCAGAGTGTTGGATGGGAGGTTTTACCACATCCACCTTATAGTCCAGACCTTTCTCCATCTGATTATTATTTATTTTTGTCTCCGTCTAACTTTTTGGCCAATAAACGGTTCAATTCCGAAGACGATGTCAAAACCGAGGTTGATCTTTTCTTCGTCTCTAAGGACCAAGATTTTTATTATCTTTACTTGTAGAACGTTGGCAAAAGGTTGTTCTTTCGAATGGTGATTGCTTCGTTGCATAAAAATTATTTTAACGAAACTTATGGTCTTTTATATTTAAACGTTAAAAACGTGGATTACTTTTTCACACACCTAATATGTTTGCAGTCGCTTTTCACATCTTTCATGCGGAACCTCTAGTTTGGCTGATACTGATAATC